TGATACGCCCGCCTTCCCAAGATGCACCTGTGGCACCTGGGACCACGGCATCTGCTGAGAACCCGTCCTGCCTGCATGGCCAGCTGGGGAGCCACCCGCTTCCTTACAAAACGAGGTGGAAGGTGGAAGTGCGCTGCAGGCTGCACTTGGACTTAAATCACTCCCGTTTTTGCTTGGAGGTACCATACTTGCTTCCTCTCATTTGTGGGCAACCCTACAGTCCACTCATGATGGCTGTTTCTGTGTGTGGTGGTTCACACTCGCATGTGAATGTATGTTTACTCCCTCACTGTTAAATAAATTCTGCCCCAATTTGTGCACAATTCTAGTCTCTCCTTTGGTATTTATATTTCTGTGGAAAATTAGAAATCAATATATTTTCTGTAGCTCTGATTTTCAAATAAATAAGTAAATAAATTTTTTAATGGGGGCTACCACTGTGTCATAGCAGGTAAAGCCACCGTCTGCCAACGGGAGCATCTCATGTGGGCACTGGTTCATGTCCCAGTTGCTCTATTTCTGATCCTGCTCTCTGCTTAACAGCCTGAGAAAAGCAGTGGAAGATGGTACAGGTGTTTGGGCCCCTACCACCCAATGGGAGACCCAGATGAAGCTCCTGGCATCTGACCGGCCCAGCCCTAGCTATTGTGACTATCTGGGGGCATAAACCAATGGATGGAAGATATCTCTGCCTCTGTCTCCCGCCCCCCACCTCTGTAACTCTGCTTTAAAATAAATAAATCTTAAAAAAAAAAAAAGGAATTAAAGGAGGTGGGAGAAAGGGGAAAGAAAATATCATTATGTTCTTAGAAATGTATCTATAAGCCATATCTAATCTGTCAAAAATTAATTAAAAATTTAAAAATAAAACTTTTTTAAAAAAGAAATTAGTATGTTCATTGCCCACATCATCTGGCCCGGTCACTCATGTGGGAGACCTGGATGGAGTTCCTATCTCCTGACTGTGGCCATTTGGGGAGTGAACCAGTGGATAGAGATCTTTCTCTCTCCCCTCTCCTCTGTCACTCTGCCTTTCTAGTAATTAAATGCATTTACAAATGTCCTTCAGCAATGAAGTGGAAATTATGACATTCTCAGACAAAGAGAAATTAAGCGAATTTATTGCCAGCTGAACTTCACTGGAAGAAGGGCTAAAGGAAGTTCTCTGAACAGAAAGGAGATGACAGAAGGAATCTTGAAGCATAAGGAAGGAAGAATATGAGGGGCAAAAACGTGGGTAACTTCGACAGACGTTCTTTCTCATGAGTTTTCTAAGTCGTTTGAGGCAAAACTTGTGATGCCGTCAAACACGGTTCTTAGGGAACTTGGCCAATCATTTCCAAAGTGGGAGAGTCAAGGGGCACACAGGGAGGGAAGGCCTCCCCACTTCACTCAGGATACCAGGAGACCGTCTTGAGTTACGTACATACAATGCGGGGTGGGGCGGAGCGGGCCGGGGGACCTTTTTTCCCCCCAAGGGCCATCTAGATATTTAGAACATCACTTGTGAACCATACAAAATTATCAACTCAAAAATCAACCTGCTATAAATTTATTAAGCTTCAAGTCCTGCCTACAGTGGCCTTGGCAGGGCCAGATCACGCGATCTTGAGGGCATTATATGGCCCATGGGCTAGGTGTTTCCTTCCCCTGTAATGTAACAACCTAGAGCAACCACTCAAATAACCTATACAAAAGCCATTCAAGAACACTATGGAAAAATCAAAACGGTATTTTTAAAAACTGCTCAAGTAATCCACTTGAAGGCAGGAGACAGAAAATACAGAAACAGAAAACAAAAAATAAAATGGCAGACTTAAGCCCCAAAATATCTGTAATTATATGTAACGGAAACAGTCTAAAAGCACTAATTAAAACACAAAGGTCAGCAGCGGGAAACCACACTACCTGCAACCTGTCTACAAGACACTTAGAATATAATGATATAGGAAGGCTGAAAGCAAGAGAAAAATATACAAATGTTAATCATAAGAAAGCAGGAGTGGCTATGTTAACATTAGATGAAATAGACAAAGACAATGAGCCGGAACACAGAGAGACATCATATAATGAAATCCACCTAGAAACACAGCAATCCTGAGTGCACACAAAGTAACAGAACAGTTATCCTGTGAGGCAAAAACTGACAGGAGACACAGACGATTCTACAATGACAGGGATTTCAACAGCACCTTCTCAACAACTGTGATAGAATGACTAGAGAGAAAATTAATAATACAGGAACTCAACTATACCATCGCCCAACAGATTTTTAACCATATTCACAGAACATGTCATCAAACAACAGCTGAATAGACTGTTTTTCAATCACTCATGAACACATGCCAAGACACATCATCATATTCTGACCATCAACCAATCTCAACAAATTTCAGAGACCATACATAATGAGATACCACTACAAACCTCCTAGGAGAGCCAAGATAAAAAATCAGAGACAACATCAAACCCTGCAAGGATGTGGAGAAACTAGATCTCCCTTACTGTTGTCGGTACAGTCACGGTTAGGCAGATTCTTAAAAATCAAAAATTTACCACGTGACTCACTCCTGGAGGTTTATCCCAGGGGGATGAAGACGAACATTGACACAGAAAGCTACACACAACTGCTCAGAGCAGCTTTACGTGTCACAGCCCCAAACTGTAAAAAACAAAATGTCCCTCGGCACCATCCAGGAACACACACACACACACACACACACAATCTCTCGGTAGGTAAATGGTTACATAAGCTGCTGTATATCCATACCACAGAATCAACTTGGATGGGCACTAGGGGACTCAACACTGAATGGAGAAAAGATGTCTTAAAAACCTTACACACTGCAGGGCTCTACTTACATATCATTCACTTAGAGACAGAAGAGAACAGTGGTTTCTACGGGTTGGGAAAGCTGGCGGGGAATGAGGATGCTGGGACTCTCACAACAGAGGTCCCCGTGCTGATGGAAGTCCTGTATTTTGACTGTGCTTAGAGATACAATGACATAGAATTATACACACTCATTGTACCCATGCGGTTTCCTGGGTTTGATATCATCCTAGTTATCTGAGACACACGCTGTGGGGGAAACTTGGTGAAGGGTGCACAGACCTCTCTACAGCACCCCTGAGTTAAAAACACACACATACCTTAACAGTCCAACATGTGTTAACTTACCTTTTTACCCTACTCTTACTAGGAAGGCAGTAATATGACTAGTACTGCACTGGGTGGGAAGAGACAAAAGCAAACCCAGAAGTGGGCTGAGCCGGTCAAGCTTATATTGTCAGAATCTGAACTAGATACACAAACCAGCCACCCACGAAGGACTCCGCGGTTGAAAACTCCTGTGACCACAGTCAGAACTACAGAATCAGGAAGTCCAAGTCAGTTGAGGCCATGAAACAGCAGCAAACGCTGTGCGGCTATCTGTAAGAACACTCACTGGGAAGATCTGCTTTCACAGGGGCTGGCGCCGTGGCGCAGGTTAATCTTCCGCCTGTGGTGCCAGCATCCCATACGGGCGCCGGTTCTAGTCCCGATTGCTCCTTTTCCAATCCAGCTCTCTGCTATGGCCTGGGAAAGCAGTAGAAGATGGCCCGAGTGCTTGGGCCCCTGCACCCACGTGGGAAGACTGGGAAGAAGCTCCTGGCTCCTGGCTCCTGATCAGCACAGCTCCAGCTGTTGCGGTATTTTTGCTGAGTGTCCAATGGAGGGAAGACCTTTCTCTCTGCCTCTCCCTCTGTAACTCTCTCAAATAAATAAATAAAATCTTTAAAAAAAAAATCTGCTTTCACAGTTGTTGCTGCTTGCAACTAAACTAAACTAAACTAAACTAAACTAAAACTTACGTTTCGAAAAGATGAGGAGCCGGCGCTGTGGTGTAGTGGGTAAAGCCGCTGTCTGCAGTGCCGCCATCCCATATGGGCGCCAGTTCTAGTCCCAGCTGCTCCACTTCTGTCCCAGCTCTCTGCTATGGCTTGGGAAGGCCTGTAGAAGATGGCCCAAGTCCTTGAGCCCCTGCACGACCACATGGGAGACCTGGAAGTAGCTCCTCCTCCCAGCTTTGGATCGGCACAGCTCCAGCCATTGCGGCCATCTGGGAAGTGAACCAGTGGATTGAAGACCTCTCTCTCTCTCTCTCTCTGCCTCTCTGTAACTGCCTTTCAAATAAATAAATATATATTTTTAAAGGTAGCTGAAAACCTAACAAAAACTTCCTGCATCACCATGCGCTATGATCTTCTCCCTTCTAAGGTTTAAAGCAGCTGTCATTTAAACTCCAATCTTTCTTCATCTGACTCACAGGAATGACTAGAGAGCTGGAAAGAGCCTGTCAGGTCTCTACTAGGGATGGTTATGAAACAGTCCCGGCTGCACTGGATGCTCCCAGCCGTCCACCAGAACATGGGCTCCACCACAGGGCTCTCATGCCAAGTGTAGGGACCTGGAATTTAAGGACAGGATAGGTCCTCTGGATACAAGTTCACAAATAACCTGAATGTTGGAAGTCATTGCTCTCTTTATTTACTTATCGAGGGAGAGGGACTAGGGTGTGTAAAGGGACACTAAACTCTCAGGACCAAAGGCAAAGGACTGTACCCACGAACACAGGCCCAGCCAAGGGACCAACCAGAGCAGCCTCACTCACTCACTCTTAGCCTGGCAGAAAACAAGTTAAAAAGTCACATGTAGACCAAGTCAACATCTCATCTCCTGGGCTGATCTCCACTTCCTGTCTTCCAGCACAGTGCACAATAGAACAGACACTGGGTTCCAGCCCTGCTCTTCTACTTCCTGCTATGAGCTTTCTTATGTTTCAGTTTCCTAACGTGTATAAAAGGAATTACAGTACCCACCTCAAAGCCCCCGGCATCAGAGATGATCACCGCCATTACCACACCATTGCTGCATTTTCTGTGCCCATTTCATTGAGTGCGGGTTACCAGAATAAATGTGAGACGTCAATGGAAAATACATGGAAGCAATGCAAAGATTCAGTTTTCAAATTTTTATTTTTACTAACGTTAAGAACCACCATTACAGGAGCTCAGCTCTATAACCCATCCAGCCCAAGACCGTTCTAGTGGTGGGACCAAGAATGAACAGAAGGTCTTCCTCTCAAGAGATCTCAAGGACATCTTCCATGGGGCACCAACATGCTTTCTTGTCCAAAAATTTAAAGCCTGCTTGATCCTTCTACGTTTTCCACCAACAGCATTACCTTCTGAGGTTGGACTCCAGGTCTGCTATGATAGGTAAAGGCTCCTTTCACTGTCAAGTGTGTGGCTGAGAAGGGAACTGGGTAATGTGACTCTGACAACAGCTTGTGCCCCCATGGTAAAGAGCGGCCATTGCTCTTACAGCTCCCTTTCTCCAGTTTCAGAAGTCTCCAAGGTGTGCATCCCAAGTCACCCACGGGAAGCATGCTAGCATTTGCCACAAAGCAGCATAACATGTTTGTTTTCCTTTGGACCCAGCATTTCTCCAGAGCAGCCCCTCCAACACTGTCTGGGCTGCTCTCATAATCCCGACTGGGTTGTTCTGGGCCCTCTGTGATTTCTAAAAGCTTCAGCTAGCCTCACAGGCCTACTCTCACCTGCCTATAAAGCTATCAAACCCTTGAGCCCTGGATGTCTCTTTCAGATTTCATATCTTCCTCAAATTCACTAAATGCCTCCTGAATTTCAGAAAGCAGTTACTTACCAGCTAATTCAAAAATGCAGCCTAATTCTGTGTGAATCACTGCAGAGACCAGCTCTAAAGGTCAGGAAGGGAAGGTGTGGTGTACCAGTGCCCCTCCATCCCATCACACAGATCCCCAATCTGGCCCTCACACCCTGACCTGCCTGCGACTCCTCTGCTCATTCCTTCTTCCTAGCTGCCACTCAGACCACAGGTGAGGCCCCTGGGCTGCACACAGGTAGCCTGAAGTAGATACATACTGCACTGTGGGTCAGAACCCTGGACTGCAATTTGAGCCATACTGTGGGCCTGCATCATGTAGAAAACAGAGCCACACCGGGGCTGCTTTACCTATCACCTTGACTGGAAACACTCTGAGTATGGAAGGAAAGAGGCTGTGCTCAAGGGGACAGGCTCAAAGCAAACCTAAAACTACCTTTGTGTACAGTGTTGTGAATAGGTAAGGGGGCGGGGCCAGGGTTCCTCAGTGACCCCTCTTCCAGGCACCGTAACTTACAGGGCTTAGGCTGGTACCAAGAGCCCTACACAGTAGAGTCATTGCCAACAATCTTCCCACTTTGAAAGAGGAAGAGAAAAAGTTACACAGAATACAAACAGAAACATCCAAGTGTAGCCTCTGTCCGGATGCCCTTGGCTTCCTGAGCCAGCCAGGACGTTAGCTCAGCCGTCTGTCCCTGCTCTACCTCCAGGCCCTGGAGACGGGACTTGAGGGTTGGAGTTTCTTCCCTTTGACTTGGAAAACTCTACTTCTCATTTCCAGCTTCACCAGTTCCTCAGGTGCAACAATCAAAGTCCCACGCCCCAGCTGTTCCCAGCAAGGGCTCCCTGGCACAATCTGCCAGCAACTGCCTCTGCTCTCGCACTCCTCCTCTTCAGCCCTTCCGGACCTGCAGGCTCTCTGGGCACAGGCACTGCCCACAGCATGGTGAAAAACAGAAAAGGGTTCACTTTCACCTCCTGGTGACCACTGCTTGCCACATCTACAGTGCCCAAAGGGCTGAAGGATGACAGTCCAGTTCTCCTTGCCTTCGTTACAAAACTGCCAGAGACAGAGAGCTCCCAGGGCGCAGCAGGCCACTCAGCATCTGACGTGGTTTCTAAGAGGGAGTTTCCCATGGCTGCCAGTGAAGGGGACGATGATGTTCAAAACCCAGCTGGGCCCGGACGATCCCGGTTCTCAATTGTAACTACTCCTGTGGCCCAGACCACGTGGCTCTCTCCTCCCAACAGGGTGCAGCAGCAGGACAGCATTCCAAAAGGACACTCCATTATCAGGTGCAGCCCAACAGTGACACTTGGGTCAAATCACAGCTGATGGAGGAAGATGTGCCTGTGACCCACACACAGCCAGATCTACTGAGGACGCTGGAGACTGAAGGAACCAGACTTGCAGATCCTGGAGGGTGGCGTTCCCCTGACTGGCGCGACATCTCTCAGCCCGACGTTCCACAAGACCCAGAGGCCCAGCCTGAAGACAGTTGGCAGAAAGCAAAAATGACTGTCTTAAAGAGGTCTTCAGACACCTGGACAGCTCAGCAGGACCACATATGTGTCCAGGGCCCACCATGAGGCCGCCATCACCAACCGGTAAGGAGGACATATCACACAGCATCTTCAGGGTGCTGGAGGCAGGCGCTGTGGCGGAAGAGGCAGTGAACAAGGTCAAAGCTTTGCCAGGTCACATCCAGCCCCTCTGACCCATCATCCCACTACTAAGAATTTATTCCAAAGAAGTCACTCGTAACAGGAAAGAAGCTGGATGCACAAGGACACGTGTGTCCTTGCAGTCAAGTGGTTAACAGAACGTGGACTGTGGGCTCAGACACCTAACCACTTCTTAGAGCAAGTAGCTCAGACTCTCAGCCTTCTCCCTCACCTGTGTGATGCAGACACATCTGCTTCCCAGGGCCGTTGTGAAGATTAAATGACATGGCCCAGACAGAGCACCTGGAGTGCAGAGTGCACTCAACCACAAGGTCGGCATGCACGGGACGGGAAGGAGATGCAGAGAACAAGGAACAGATGAGCTGAAAGGGTGACAGACTGAGAAGGATGTTCTGACAACTTAAGCTCTAAGGTCCTGGATGTTTTGTAGGTGTGTGGAGGATGCCAAGAGCTGCTGACTACTGCAGCTTAGGAAGAAAGATGCAAGTCAAAGAGGGGTGGCATCTTCCCAGCAGCGCTCTCCCCAGCTGTCTAGGTTTCATCCTCTGCGAATGCAGACAGAGCAGTGAAGAAGGGCTGTACACAGACGGCCCTCGAGCCTCAGTCCACTGTCCTAGGGCAGCTGCAGGGCTGCAGCCAGACCCCTGCCTGCCTGCCTGCCAGTCTGACAAGGTCACAGTGTGGCCAGCAGGACAGGAAGGCCAGAGAGCTGTGACACGGGCAGGGAGTCCACTCTTAGGACTCTTGTGCAGGGCAGAACATGGGCTGTGTCACTCCCCTTCCTGCGGCAGTTTTTCTCTTGTAGGAAAACACAAAAGTCCATTCCCAAGAGGAAAACACAAAGTACTAATCGGTGCCAGAAACAACACAGACAGACACTTCTGTGCTTTCATAGGCTTTAGGAAGTCTGGTTGATGTTTATAACAATTTTTTTAAAAAATTCACCTCATTCATAAATATTATACCATGTACTCCAAAATAAAAAAGGAGTATTTTTTAAACGTAAATACTATTATCACACACAAAAAGTGAACAATTCCTTAATACTAAAAACTATGTAGTCAGTGTTCAAATTTCCAACTGTCTCACAAATATCAAAAATGGTGGTTTCTCCACATTTAAAAATTCATGTTCCTAAAGCCTGCTGATATGGATCCTCTGCCACCACAAACACCAACTCACAACTTCCTCAACAGACTTGAGGGAACCAAAGCCCAGAGCCGCCAGGTGCTTTGGCCAGGACTGCACAGCTCGCTGAAGAGAGCCCAGTCCAGTCACCGTTCTTTCCTCAGCCGCACACTGTCTGAACCCTGAGGTAACCATCAGCAGCTTTCGAGCTAGCAAGCCCTCACCTAGTAACACCTGTCAGCAGCAGTCACTCCTCGATCCCTCCTTGTAACCACAGACCCACTTTTCAAAGATGAAAACAAGTCTCTGGTGTGAATGCCATCAGGCAGAAGGCTAGGCCTCTCTATTCCGTGCTTCGATTTTGTCACGGAAAAGGAGGATTCTGGATGGCCTCTGTCCTCCTCTCAGCTCCCTCCCACCCTGGCACCCCTTGGCCACAGCGAGCTGAGGAGGACCACCCACTTCAGGGGCCAGGCTGGTCTGAGTTCTGGTCGTCACAGCACGGCCCAGCAAAGGTGAGGATTACCTAAAACAGGCCCATCAACCCACCAATGAAGCCATCATTTCTGCACTACAGAGCATGAGGAAAAATAAACTCCTTCCCATCCCATTCTGCAAGGACTGAACTACCATTTTACACAACTGAACAAGGAAGGTGCACGCACGTGTGCATACACACACACACACACACACACACACAAGGAATGGAGGGGAGGAAAACCAGACCAACGTTCCTAATAAAACACAAAGGCCAAAACCATGAATAAAATTAAAGCAAATTTTAAAAAGGCATGTTTCTCCTCCAAAACACTTAGTTTCCTTCTTTTTCAAACTAAAAATAAATCAATAATTTATTTACTAGAGAAGCAGAGACACAGAGCATGCTCCCGTTTGCTGGGTCATTCCCCAAATGCCTGCGACAGCAGGGGGCTGTGCTTAGGCCAGAGCCAGGAACTAGGGACTGAATCCAGGTCTCCCACGTGGGTGGCAGGGACCTAACTACTCTCTGCTCCCTTCCAGGGTGTACATTAGCAGAAAGACAGAGCCAGGAGCAGATCCAGGACTAGAACCCAGACACTCCAATAAAGTCTGTGACTGTCTCACCTGGTATCTTTACTCCTGGGCCAAACACCTGCCCCTTGCTCTCTTTTGAAAGCTCTTGCTTCCTTTGCTTGCAAAATACAAATAAATCAGGTAATGTACAAAAAGAAAACAAAATACTGAACAAGTCCCTTCACCTAGAATTCAGTTTGATATCAGAAAATCTACAAAGCAATTCACCTTTGTAACTGAACCAAAGGAAACATTAATGCTTTCTCAATTCATTTGATTATAAAACGTCAATGGACCAAACTCAAAAAACATTATTTATCGAGAGAAAGGAAAATAACAAAGATGATCTTGGCAAGCCAGAAACAGAATTGACATTTCCTTAACATGAGCATTATCAAACAACAGAAAGCTAGTGTGGGAAGAGACAGTTCAATTTTACTGGAATTTCAGTGGAGGAAGGACTCACCCTTATCTCGCTTAGCACACAAAAATAAACTCCAAGAGGACTAAGGAACTAAAGGAAACAAACAAAAGCTTTCTAAGAAAACATAAAGAGCAGTCTCAGTGTGAGACGACAGGGAAGCTCTGGAGACGGATGGTGACGATGGCTGCACTGTGATGTGAACGCACTTAATGCTACTGAGCTGTTTGCCCGAGCATCAGCAAAACAGTGTATTCTATGCTAATGTTCTACCACAACGAAAATCAGAAAAAGAAAAAAACCGGTTTATATTCTTGTGATAGGACCAGCTTTCTTAGGACACAAAACCTTGGAGCCATAAAGAGAAGTAGTTGAAGATTTCATTATATAAAATATTTAAATTTTCTGATGACAAAAAGATTCAAAAGTAAAAGTAAAAGACAAACACTAAATACTTCAACAGAAAAAAAAAGAAAGAAAAAAGATAACCTACTGACCGGAACAGAGTATATGTAACTTGTATAACACATAAAGGATTAACATCTAAATATATAAAGCAGCTACAAATCAAATAAACAAACAACATGACAGGCAACTCTGTAAGACATACAGCTTCCTAAGTAATCAGGAAAATATACATTGAAACACTATTTCATTTTTTACCCATCAAATTAACAAAATTAAAAATACTGATGTTTCACAATTGACAAAGGTATAGGAAAACAGGCATTCTCATCACTGTGGCAAGAACTGTACATAACAACTTTTTTTGAAGAGCAATCAGCAGGCACATTCACCTTCCACTGCTTAGTCTCTGGCCCAGAGGGACACAGAATCATAAACGAGGTGTTCACCACAGCATCACATATAGTATCAAAACCACAACATGTCCCAGCTCTGCAGGCTTCCACACACCCACAGCAGCTTCTGAGAGGAGAGACAGGTCCCTATGCAACCAACAGGGAAACACATCATGGCGTGATTTATAAAAAAGTCTAGCTACGAAAGAGTCTGTGATCCTACTTTTGTCCAAAATAAAAAATATACTCTTACAGGAAGAAGAATCTGGGAGAATTCATAGCAAACTACTAACCAAATCATTTCAAGGAGTAGCATCACTTTCTATCTAAAGTCTGTTATTTCTGTAATGTGAGAATAATTTAAAATAAGCAAATAGTCTTCCTGCCCTCTGCAAAACGGGGTATTTACGATCCTAATGAATGTCTGTGCAGTATTTTCCCCTAAAGGGGAAGAGAACATCTGGAAGGGCTCAGGAACTGTCACCTGGCAGGAGAGCCAATCCCACCCCAGGAGAGGTGGGACAGCAAGGTCTTCAGTCATACAGGCTGCACGGCACTTGCCACACATGACAAGGCTTGGCTGAAACAGTGGGTACTGAAGAAGTAAACAACGTTGGACTCAAAGTACTTGTTCTATTTAATCTCCATCTCTAGGTGGCTTCTCAGATCACTGTTTTAAGATTACATTTTAACCAAAAGGTCACAATGGAAACCAGAGAAGCTAAGAGGACCTGATGGTGACTTTCTGGGTGGTGATGAGTATAAAAAAACCAAGTTGTGCTATAAAGACAGCAAAGACCTGGGAAGGCACGGTGCTGGCGAACCGTTAAGTAACAGAAAGAGTATTAGCCACGAGCTTCACTTATGACTTATGAGTGATGAAACAGAGAAAGGAAAGGAGAGGGAAAAACTATCACATACTAGGTGCTGCTCCACACGGGAACGTATTCACACATGCACTTACAACTTTAATCCTCACAACATCCAGGGAGTGTTATACAAGAGGAGACTCAAAGAGGCCCAGGGCTTGTTCAGGGTCACAAAGCTACAAACCCCAGAGTCTGGATTTGAACCAAGTCCAGTGCAGCAGCAGCTCCTTCTGTCAGCTGGCTGGCTGGCCCCAAACTTCCCAATCCTGGAGCCCATGTCCTCAGTCTTTCCAGGCAGACTCACCTGGGAGCTGCAGGGCGGCACCTGGGAGGTGGGCTCCTCAGACAGGGCTGCTCCTGAGCCCATAGGGCTCAGCGTGGTGATTCTGCTCGGCTGGCCACGCAGAGTCAGAGTGATGGTGGTGGGGACCTTCAAGCCTGAGGGAGACAGACAAGCAAGGTTCTCTGGTCTCAGCCTCTCCTCTCTGCTGAGGCTTTCCTTTCCTGGAGACTTTCTTCCCCCACGTAACACACCCGCCTTGGCCTCCTCCCCAGCTGGGTCATCTATACCCTATCAGTTAATCTGAAAGGCAACAGGAAACAGCCTGTGTCCTCTCGACCTCTCTGGGGGACGGGTCTGCACAACTGAATCCAAAAGTCAACGCCAGAACCCTGTGGGGTTGGGTTCAACATCAGACCTTGCCCACATGAGATGGGAAGGTCCTCGGGGAAGATCCCAGATCTGGGAGTCCCCACAGTTCTCATGAGAGACTCACCTGAAGCTTGGTTAGAGATCTGAGCCAGGCCAGGGAGGCTGCTTGCCAACTTAGCGAGGCCCCCATTGGTCAGCAGCTGGTGGATGGCTGTGGGCTTCCCACCAGGAGTGGCACCCAAGGAGGAGAGAGTGGTGGCCACAGGAATGGTACGGACAATGGTGCTGGTGCCCGTGGTGATGGCACCCAGGCTCTGCATGGGGGTGGGCAACTTCACACTGGTGGCCTGTGGGACACACAAGCCCAGGTGATCAGAAGCTGTCTGTCACCCAACAGCAACGTTTGAGTTTGGAGGGCCCAATAGCATATTATTAAAGACTAACATGTGTTGACTGCTTATTACATGCAAAGTACTCTTCCAGGCATTTTGCATATATTACCTTAGTAAATGCTCACAATTCTATCAGGGAAATACTATTATCACCTTACTTTACAGACAAGGAAACAAAGAGAGGTCAAGAAACTTGCCCAAGGTCACACAGTAAGTGATGGACCTTATCCTTTGACGGCTCCCTAGCTGTGCAGTTAAGAAGGCTGTTTGCCATGGACCCAATGACTCCAGACCCAGTCTCCCAGCAAAAATCAGCTAAGCTGAGGAGGCCGCCTCCCTACACCTGCCCAGCCCAGTGGAAGGCAGATGTGCACCTGTGGAGCTGGCCCTGGGGAAGGATTTGCAGGGAGACCAGATGTCTTGCTGCTGATATCCTGCAAGCTGAAGCTGAGGCCTTGGAGGAGGCTGCTGGCTGATGTGGCCCCTAGGAGAGGATATAACAAGCTCAATCACTAGCATGTATCCCAAGAGCAGCCATGCTTGTTCATCCTTACCAGCTAAAACCCCAATGCTCCTACACACTCCCCTGCTCAGATACCAAGAAGGTCTCCTAGGCACACACACACACTGGTTGCCCTATGAGGAAAGGCACTATGCCAGATCCTGCCTTGGGATTGACTCTGCACATCCCAACCTGCTCCAAAGCACCCAGACTACATTTTAGACAGTGTTAGGAAAACCAAAGAGAGCCCAAATCACACTTTTCAAAAACCTAAATTCTCACCTAATTTCTAGGGAAGAGGAAGGACTTTTTAAACGAGAAGAATTCCAATATCTGCCTTCTACTTCACCTTACACACAGTCCAGTGGCCTCAAAGCCAAGAGGAAGGGCCTCTTGCAGAAGGGTATCATCTGTTATGCCAGGCCCAGCTGGGCTCAGGCAATGAGCCTTTCAATGGGGCGTGCTGGGGTGGTGGTGTAGAAAGCAAGACACAAGCACAGGAAGGACAAGGTCTTGCTTTGCTGTCAGTACATCACCATTCTAGTTTTCTTCAGTCAGATGTATTTAAAACACCAAATGGAACACAGCACATACATTCCCCACCAGCTACTGCTTCCCCTCCTTAGAGTACAATATAGAGACCCTGCAGACTGGGGGCATCCACTCACTGCAGTCATCAAGGCCAATGAATCCTCAGCTCAAGCTAATTCCAGATCCAGGTCAGCCTCTATGCTGTCTTGAGGCCCAGAGTTGCATCGTCCAGCTCCAGGGATGTTTGCCCAGGACTATCCCCCAGCAGCAGACTAAAAGAATTTGCTGGGAGAGGGGAGATGCTGGGTTACAAGATACCTGGGAGGGAGCTGCCTGGAGAAGTGGCCACCAAACGGCTCTGGAGTGTGTGCAAGGTGCTGGGTGTGGTACTGTTGGAGACCACCGAAGGGGCTGGGCCAGCTGTGACTCCACCTTCAGAAGCACTGGACCTGAAGACAAAGAAAGGAGCTCCCTCATCCAAAGGCCAGGGGGACACAGATCCTAGCAACACAGGGAAGGTCCACAGTGGGGCCTGACAAAGCTTTAACTGGATCCAAGCTTTGTCCCACCTCCTGAACCCAGCCTCTAGTCGTCCTCAAAGTCAGGCCTAGAGTAAAGACTTTAGGACGAGAGCCAAGAGAACTCAGAGCTGATCCAAAAGAAAGACAAAAACCACAAAAAGAAAGAAGGTACATTTCCACAAATGACACAATCCAGGAGCTATCACCTTTCCACAGTACCATATAATACAGAGGAGTGAAGCTAAGAAGGGAACAGAGACAGCAACCGAGAAACAAACTCACCTGGTTGTGGTGAGGAGTCCGGTGAGCTCCTTGGTCCCTGCTGAAGACTGCCCCAGTGTCATGGTTATGGGTTTCCCTCCTGAAGCTGCAAAGCAGAAAGCCCTGAGACACTACTCAGACCTATTTGGCCCCTACCTTTCCAGGTTCCACAGCCCAGGCTAAATACAAGATATTGTGGACAAAGACTTGAAGATGAAAAAAGAGTAACTTTGTTAGAGGAAGAATTAGGGTAACTTCTCCTATTTTCTAACTTTTTTGGAATATTTTATCTCTATTCAAAACAAATATACATATTTACATGCCATGCTCAGAACGACCCCTCGGCACCCTCGGTCCCCTGGAAGTCAATGCCCCCTTGCCATTAATGTGCCATTTCTGCTCCAGGTCTCTCTCACACTGAAGCAGAGGCTGAGCTGCCTGCTCCAAGAAGAGCCACCAGGAAGCAACACTTTGTGTCCTGGGAGAGCCAGGTCCACTCGGGTTTAAACTGGCTCGAGAAACTCACCTTCAGCACCTCCTCCTTGGGAAGGAGTGTCCCCTTGGGAAATAAGGGACACCTTGATCTTTGGTCGCTTGGAGGCCTTACTGCCAGGCAGAGGACTGGAGGGGTGGTGTCGCTTCAGCTGGACTCGGAGATCTTCTTTTTCTGCCTCCTCTGTTGGTTCTGATGAAATAGGAACTAAGAGATGGAGCTCAGGTGAGATTCTGCACAGTCCAAGAAAGCCTGGTGGACACTGTTTGTCAAGGTCAGTACGGGAACACACAGGAAGATCAACCCACCCACAGGCCACATTTCACAAGAGACGACCCGCGTTTCAGTCCACTTCAATGAGGTCCGCCTGAGCTGAAGCCCACCCTGCCCTTCTCAAAGAATGGCCCCATCCCCATCTCTCACTCTGCCTTTGAAGAAAGGAAGGGAAGAGGCCCAGAGTTGGTAGGAACAAGACAGAAGACATCTGTCTAGCAAAAGCCACAGCAAGAATAAAAATGGAGGACTCACTAAAGTATATCTACACAGTGTGATCACTCTCCTGTCCCCATGTCATCACTCAGCCAGGAGACAATAAACATTCCATGAAAAACCCACAGAGGAGCACCCAGTCCTTTCTAACAGGGAGTTTTCACAAGACTGTGAGGAGTCCCATTCTGTCCTTAGAGCCCGGGCTGAGGGGTGCTTGCCAAAGGGGGCAAGGAGGACAACCTCCAGGACTTCAGGCTGGGGGAGGGAGGCTCAAAGCCCTGGCAGCCTCACAGCTCCTAAAGGTGGTCCTGGGTCATCTGTACAAGTACAGAGAAAGGCTATCTGTTCACACATAATGCCCACGGCCCAGCTTCTTGGACTTGCAAGTTATCCTTCAGGAGTCCTCACAAATGTCCTTGGCTTTCAACCCAGAAGTCGCCCAGCCCTTCTTTGCACAGGCAGCCAGGGGTGGAGGTGGGGAGAAAGGCAGCCACACAAGCATGAGGGGGATCCTGGCATGGGGCCATGACCAGCGCACAGGCAGCTACTGTGGAATGGCACTGTGGAGAGGACAAATGTACTCGCTGAATCAGAGCAGAAAGGAACGGGGAGGGCGAAGGAGCCGCAGGTTTCTTCTGCTGAGTGGTTAGTGTGCCTGCAGCTGGCAGGATGGAAGCATGGAAACAAGCAGGGAGCGAGCACACAGGGAAACTCAGGCTCTCAGGCAATGGGCCACAGGCACACAAAGGTGAAGGAGCTACAGTGAAGGCAAACAAGGAAACACACAGAAGCAAACAGAGAGAATGGAGATACAAGACAAAGCATCTGTAGACGGGGAAAAGCTCAGAGAAGCAAACAGGAGGAAATCAAACAGATGAGAGAGGCAGATGAGAAGCAGAGACAGGACAGAATCAAGAGGGGTGGGAATAAAGCAGAGAGCAGACGGCGGAAAGGTGAGAGAGAGTAATACTCACCAAAGAGACAGGAGGAGGTGCCAGGAGGAAGAGCTTTCCTCACCAGCATATTTTGTTTCAGAAAAGCAGCAAACTGTGCTGGAATGAATCAGAAAGAATTACAGAATCACAGCCGGCCAGAAAAAGGAGAAAGAGAGACAGAATAAGAAAAAGATGAAAAAGTTCCAGAAACTGGTCGCAGGGGCTCTTTCTGTCCCTGCCCGGGTCTGAAACCTGACTCGCTGAGTAGCTCCAAGGAACCATCCATAAACGGAGGTAGCAACATGTGGCTGCTGTCCAGACTCGACAAGCCATGGCAAGCAAGTCCCAAGAAGAGGGCACAGTGAGTTAAGGGCTCCAGTAAGTTAGCTGCTACTAGCCCTTGCTTGCTGCTTTTCACCGGGACGCTGGGGTCCTGCTTCCAATCCAGCTCATCAGTCAGCCTTTCAGAACTCCTTAGATTCCTGACTGATCCTCCCCCAAGATACACAGCAGGCTCTACCTTTACCAAAAGTCTAAGGGGACACTGCCCACACAGAACTTGGCCAACACTCAAGAAAATCCAGTTCACGGAGCATCCATACAGATGTAGGGCACTGGTCTCCTGTTAGCCTTCATTTGTCTACTTACACTTCTGTTCTTTGTTAGCACCACTGTAATGAGCAGCCTCACAAGAGACCTGGGTTTCAGTTGAACTTGAACTCTAAAAGCAGAAGCTGGCAGATCCGCCTCCTACAGCACCTCCATATCTGTTCTACAGCCAGCTCCACCTACTTCCTCCTCCCAGGCACTCCTAAGAACTCCAGCAATACATGTTCTTGAATGCACCATCAGAAACTGATGCCCAGGGCAGGTGCTGTGGCATAGTGGGTAAAGCTGCCACTTGCAGGGCCGGCATTGCATATGGGTGCTGATTCGAGTCCAGGCTGCTCCACTTTCAATCTAGCTCCCTGTTAATGCACCTGGGAAAGCAGCAGAAGATAGCCCAAGTCTTTGGGTCCCTGCACCCTCATGGGAAACCAAGAAGCTCCTGGCTTCGGATAGGCCCAGCTCTGGCTGTTGTGGCCATCTGGGGAGTAAACCAGTGGATGGAGGACCAACCTCTCTCTGTCTCTGGCTCTCTGTAACTCTGCCTTTCAAATAAATAAAAAATAAATATTAAAAAAAAAATGATGTTCAAGAGGCCTTGCCGGAAGGCCATTCAACTGGATGAAAGAAGGGGCAGGCAGAAGTCACTGTTTCTTCATTTTCTTACCTACTGAATTCTACCTTTATTTAGTATGTGCAGCTCTTCAAATGAATTCCAACTATACAGATATTATTGCCCCCTCTAAAACCTATCTGCAGAGAACCACTATAAACTTTGCTGACAGTCCCAGCCCAGGAACCTACTTTCTTTTTTTTTTTTTTTTTTTTTTTTGACAGGCAGAGTTAGACAGTGGGAGAGAGAGACAGAGAGAAAGGTCTTCCTTGCGTTGGTTCACCCCACAAATGGCCACCACGGCCGGTGCACCGATCCAAAGCCAAGAGCCAGGTGCTTCCTCCTGGTCTCCCATGCGGGTGCAGGGCCCAAGCACTTGGGCCATCCTCCACTGCACTCCCGGGCCATAGCAGAGAGCTGGACTGGAAGAGGAGCAACTGGGACATAATCTGGTACCCCAACTGGGACTAGAACCCACGGTGCTGGCGCCACAGGCAGAGGATTAGCCAAGTGAGCCGCGGCACCAGCCGGGAATCTACTTTCTAAGAGCAAGACAAAGAAAGGGCATGACACCAGTTGAGTTGCCTTGGAATTTGATGGATAAAATCAATCATCCTGTTTCGGAGAGCTCCCTGACTGCAAGAGTGATTGGGAGAAAAAAAGAACATCCCCAATTAGTAGTCAGGCCAATATCCATGTAGGCAGCTCACAAAGCTCAACTTCTCCAGAACAACAAGACAGAAAAGCTATGAACTAGCAAGCACAAAGCACTACTAATGCATTAATTCAACCTAACTTTGTCTGGACAGAAACATGGGGGAAAAGTACTTCTTATCCCCCTGAAAAAGCTGCAGATGCCAATGTATTCCAACTGCTACGTGGCATCAACTGCAGAAGACTGAACCCAAGAGCACCACTGAACCAGGAGCCTTTACCTTGGGCTTGTTTGTGGGTCAGCACAGCTTCTGTCCGCTGGACGTGTCTCTTGAGCAGCTGAGAGCTGCCAATCTGACTGGACTTCTGGACAGAGGTGACTGTGGCCACTTTGGTCTTGGGACTGGAGGTGGGGCTGCTGGACACACTGGAGAGATCCTAAGTAGAGAAAAAAGGTCAAGATACAAGCAGATAGTCATCTGGAGTCACACATCAGTCAGCACGTTCCCCTGGAACTCCCCCGACAGGGACGCACAGGCCTACAGCACTGACACGGTAGACAGGCATCTGCAGAAACTAAGGAACCAAGTCCGCAGCTCAGATTCCCCAGCCAAAGTACTCCCTCCCAGCCTCCTCCCTTGCCCACACTACCTCTGAGCCCGAGGGTGAAGCGGGCAGCTTGGCGGCAGGGGAAGCAGGTCGACTGCCCCGCTCGGAGACTTCAAAGGCCAGGTCTCGACGCGTGGCATCACGAGGCTTCTTCTTCTTCTCAGCGTCCTGATCCCGAGGCTCAGAGCCCACGTGCCCCTCAGCGCGAGTGAGCACTCCAGTCAGGAAGTCCACAATTTCATCCTAGTGTAAACCCAGCCTATTACACCTCGTCTGGAGTACAGGAGCCTCCCTGTTTATTTCAAACTAAAATCAACTCCATTTTGGCTTCGGCACCCAGATGTGCTAGTCCTCACTCACGTGAAGCCAGGCCCGTGCTGGCTTTGGGGCAGCCATGGCACTGGGAGGCACTGGGGCACGGTGCACTCTACCACTCCTCCAACACTCCCTTTCTCCCCAGCGCCTCACTCACACCTCAGCTCACCACTCTTCTCCTTCTCTTTTTTCTGCTTTGCGTATGATTTCTACCTACCAGAGGGCCCAGTTACCCCTCAGCAAAGCTGCTGCCAACAAGGCTAAATCTAAAACACAAGCCTAGCGGAGAAAAGGTGTTTACCTGAATACATCTGTCCACCATGCTCTGAGTCAAACCTTCTGATTTCTTCTTTGCTTTGCTTATTCTAAGAGACAAAAAGGAGTAAACGGGTTCTGTTTTAAACGATCCATGGTAATCCATGGGATTAAGAATGGACTTCCTTTTTGGGTTGGTTATTTCCTAGGCCCAGGAAGAAATGCTAAGGGGGCCCACAGGCTAAGCTCTGGATCTGTTTGCACATTTGCAAAATGGGGACGGATTAGTCTCGTCATGGCATGATGAACGACCAGTAACAAATATGAAAATCAAGCATGGCACCCTCAACTATCCACCCCAGAAGGCCCATACCTATGGCTTCACTGACAAACAGTACCTGTATCACTGAGGTCCCCAACACAGCCCCCAAACCCCCCGAATACTGCGAATTGCTGAACTGGATTAACAGAGAGGAGGAAAGGTGGCCACAAACTAAAGGGGTAAGAGAAAACGATCCCGGCCGCTGCATTCCCCCTTCGCCAGCTAGTCATAAAATCCCTAGCTTCCCATGAGGGCAGGAAGTCGCTGAGCCTCCTAACTCACATCTGATTTGATTGGCTGTTGGCCTCTGATCTTGTTAACAACTTCATTTTTTTTTTTTTTTTTAATTTGACAGGTAGAGCTATAGACAGTGAGAGAGAGAGAGAGAGAGAGAGGTCTTCCTTCTGTTGGCTAACTCCCCAAATGGCTGCCACAGCCGGTACTGTGCCAATCCGAAGCCAGGAGCCAGGTGCTTCTTCCTGGTCTCCCATGCGGGTGCGGGGACCAAAGCACCTAGGCCATCCTCCACTGCCCTCCTAGGCCACAGCAGAGAGCTGGACTGGAAGAGGGGCAGCCGGGACTAGAACCTGGCGCCCATATGGGATGCTGGCACCACAGGCAGAGGATTAACCAAGTGAGCATGGAGCCAGCCCCAACAACCTCATTTTACAGATGAGCACCGTGAGTGGCAGAAGCCAAGCTTCTAAATAAGAGGTCAAGAATAACGAGGCCTCAGTCCTCAGCTGTGTTCCCATCACACTGACTCCCTCACAGCAACTCAACACAGTCTACTAAGGGACAGTGTTACATTTTGCCTGGGTTCTCACCGCATGGATTACGGTTCCACAGTAGGAACACTATTAAATAGTTTTCAATGGTGTCACATTCCACAGTTAGATAAGAAGGCTTAAATGGCCATGAAAAACAAGGTATTTAAATGAAAACATTTCCTTGAGCTTCAAAAGCCTTGATACTAAATTCTTAAGAAGCTGGCAAATGACAAAAGCTGAACGACTTCTCCAAAACATCCCTAAAAAGACTGACACCTGCGAGCCTGGACTTGCTTTAAGCTCTGTAGTTAGAACATAAACCTAAAACTAATCTAACTGAGTGATAAAAAAGGAGGCTGGAGGTGCCAACCCCAAAGACAGCCCATATTATAGTGCCAGTTCAAGTCTTAGCTACTCTGCTTCCTATCCAGCTCCCTGCTAATGTGCCTGGGAAGGCAGCAGAAGATGGCCCAAGTACTTGGGCCCCTGCCACTCACATGAGAATCCTGGATAAAGTTCCTGGCTCCTGGCTTTGGTCTGGCCTAGACTTGGCTGTTATGGCCATTTGGGGAGTGAATCAGTGTATTTAAGACCTCTCTGTCACTCTGCTTTTCAAAGAAAATAAATAAATGTATTAAATCTTTAAAAACAGAAAGTAAAAAAAGGAAGCCAGAGAAGATTGGTACAGCAGGTTAGCCTGTTTGGGACACTGCACCCCAAATCCTGGCTCCACTTCCGATTCCAGCTTCCTGTTAATGTATACCCTGGGAGGTAGCAGGTAATGGCTCAAGTACTTGGGTTCCTGCCATCCATACAGCAAACCTATGCTGAGTTCTTGGTTCCTGGTTTCTGCCTGGCCCAGTCCCAGATGTTGCAGGCATTTGGGAAATGAGCCAGTAAATGGAGGATTTCTGTCTTTCTGTGCCTTTCATATAAATAAATGAAATCCTTAAAAACAAAGAAAAACTATATATATATATTTTTTAAAGGAGGCCAAATAAATGATCTCTATTTTAGTACATTTTATGAAAATCCAACAACTAGGGGCCGGCACTGTGGTGCCAGTTCAAGAAACTCCTGGTTCCTGCCTCTGGATCAGCCCAGCTCCAGCTGTTGCAGCCATGTGGGGAGTGAATCAGCGGATGGAAGACACCCCCCACCCCCTCCAACTCCACAAATCCGTCCAGCTCCCTGTTAATGGCCTGGGAAAAGCAGCAGCAGATGGCCCAGGTCCCAGGTCCCCGGCTTCAGCCTGGCCCAGCCCAAATGGTTGCTGTGGCCCATTGGGGAAGTGAACCAGATCTCTCTCTCTTTCAAATCTTAAAAAAAAAAGAAAGACAGACAAGGGGCCAGTATTGTGGCATAGCAGCTAAAGTCGCTGCCCGTGACACAAGCATCCCATGGGGTGCCAGTCCAAGACCCGGCTGCTCCACTTCTAATCCGGCTCCCTGCTAATGCACCTGGGAAAGCAGAGGAAGATGGCCCAAATTCTTGGGCCCCTGACACCCATGTGGGAGACTTGGAAGAAGTTTCTGGTTCTTGGCTTTGGACCAGCCCAGACCTGGCCACTGTGGCCATTTGGAGAGTGATCCAGCAGATGGAAGACCTCTCTCTCGTTCTAACGCTGCTTTTCAAATAAATAAACCTTAAAAAACAAAAAAACAACTAAAGGCCCTACATGTCTAGCCTTGTAAAGGAATAACAGGCATCTCAATGATCAAAGCTACCCTCCTAAAATCCCTTCTAAATGCTGTGTTTATACTCCAAATAACATCAAAAGATGCTTAATACAAATAATATGTTAATATTCATTTTCAGCAAGAAATAAAACTTTTTAAAAAGGGGAGAGATCTGTGACATTTGGCCTAATGGTTAAGATGCCATCTGGCATGCCTGCATCCCATCCTGGAGTGCCTGGGAAGCAGCAGGTGATGGGTCAAGTAGTGGGGTCCCTGCCACCCACACAGGAGACCCAGATTACATCCCCAGCTCCTGGCTTTGATCTGGCTCAGTCTCAGGTATTGCAGGCATCTGGAGGGGGAACAAGTGGAAGGGTGCTCTGTCTCTCTCCCTCTCAAATGAATAAAAACATGAAGTTTTTTTTAATTGTAAATGTGTACTCCAGTGAAAGTATGATCACAAAAATGTTTATAATCTCAAAATATCTTCTCACCTCAAGATAACTACTAGTTACAGAAAGAGTAGTAGTAATTTCACTGTGGAGAACTTGGCATAAGTTACCATAACCATGTAACCCAGGTTATAATCAACAGTGATAACAGCAACAACAGGTATCCTCTGATGGGATGTACTGGGGCATAATATCTGTGGCATTCTGCCCAAAAATCCATATCCTCAATGTAATCATAAGAAAATGTCAAAAACCTAAAATGAGGGGCAGTCTACAAAATTATCGACCAGTAGTCTTCAAAAATATCACGGTTGTGGGTCCAGTGCTGTAGCACAGCAGGTAAAGCTGCTGCCTGCAGCACTGGCATCCCATACGGGCGCTGGTTTGCATCCCAGCTATTACACTTGTGATCTAGCTCCCTGCTAATGCACTTGGAAAAGCAGCGGAAGATGGCCCAAGCACTTGGGCTCCTGCACCCACGTGGAAGACCCAGACGAAGGGGCCGCCAGCACTGTGGCGTAGCGGGTAAAGCTGCCGCCTGCAGTGCCAGCATCCCATATGGGCACCGGTTCGAGTCCTGACTTTTCTACTTCCAATCCAGCTCTCTGCTATGGCCTGGGAAAGCAGCAGAAGATGGCCAAGTGCTTGGGCCCCTGCACCCATGTGGGAGACCCAGAAGAAGCTCCTGGTTCCTGGCTTCAGATTGGTGAAGCTCTGGCCATTGCAGACAACCTCTCTCTCTCTAACTCTGAATTTCAAATAAATAAAAAAATCTTTAAGAGAAAAAAAATAAAGACCTAGAGGAAGCTACTGGCTTCAGCTGGATGTTGCAGCCATTTGGGAAGTGAACCAAAGGATGGAAGATCTGTTTCTCCCTCTCTGTAACTCTACCTTTCAAATAAATAAATAAATCTGAGCCAGGCTGAAGCCAGGAGCCGGAGCCAGGAGCTTCTGGATCTCCCATGTGGGTGCAGCGCCTAAGGACTTGGGCCATCTTCCATGGCTTTCCCAGGCACATTAGCAGGGAGCTGGATCAGAAATGGATCAGCTGACTTACACTGGTGTCCATACAGGATGCTGGTGTCATAGGCAGCTTTACCTGCTACACCACAATGTCAGCCTCAATAAATAAATCTTAAAAAAAGTCATAGTTATAAAAGACAAAAAAAGATGAATAAACGATCAAATTAAACAAGATTGAGGAAACATGGCACTAAATGCAACATGTGACCCTGGATTGGGTCCTGGACTAGAAAAAGGTCATTAGGGAGATAACTAATAAAATTTGAATCTGTAAATTATAGCACCATATCCATGTTAATTTCCTGATTATGAGAATTATCCTTTGTTACATAAGATGTTAACATTTGGAAAATTCAAATAAAAGGTACTGTGGACATTTTCTGTACTACCACCACAACTTTTTACAAATCTAAAATTAATTAACAATGTAAAAACTAAAACACTTCCACTCATAAACGAACCAAACTAATCTAGGAAAGTCAGAGCAACACAGAGAGAGAAGAAGCAGCAGAGAGAGACAGAGGTCTTCCATCCCCTGGTTCACTCCCCAGATGGCTGCAACAGCCAGAGCTGGACCAAACCAAAGCCAGGAGCCTCGCCCAGGTCTGCCACACAGGTGGCAAGGACGTGGGCCATCTTCCACTGCTTTCCCAGGCTACAGCAGAGCTGGATCGGAAGTAGAGCAGGTAGGAATTGAACCGGCGTCCACATGGGATGCCAGCACTGCAGGTGGTGCCTTTACCTGCTACGCCACAGTGCCGGCCCCCAGGCATTTCTTTAACCCTGTAACGTGGTGCTCTCATGCCTCTGGTGGAAACTACCCACCTGAGATTATCATCAGCGCCCCCAACCACCACCAAGCTGTTCTCAGCCCGAATCTTCTCCCGGAAGTCCTCCATGGCTTCAGGGTGACACTGCAGGGAATTCTGACCAATGACAAAGAGGACTGGAGTCTTCATATCCAAGAGTGGATCATCCACATCCTAAAACAAGTACAGGTTTTAGATGCAGCAGGCTCAGACTCACCAAGCACTGACCTGGAAGAAACTCTGCTCAGGAGTCCGCCGTGCAATTGCAGGTGGTCTGCACTGGCTTGGGTGAGGTGCCCCCACTCCCGCTGCCAAGGACCCAGCCATCATCTTCACCGCATTCTTACCCCTCTGGGGCCATCCACGGTGAGCAGAGGAAACCCAAGGCAGACAACTGCAGTGACATACTCCATCACTGACACCTGCAAATAATGGCATGGTTTGTCTAAAGGGCACCTGAGTTCACTGCCCTTAGCCTACTCAGAATCCAGGAAGGTCCAGACCTTGTCCCCCTGCCCCATCCTACCTCTTCCTCTCCTGCTCTAATCCTCAGAGGCAGCAGGAAGAGAAGAGAACACAAGCAGCCCCCACCTTGCCAAGTGAGGCCCTGAGCGGACCCCGGCACACGGCTACACCTCCGTTTGGGAGGCTTAATACTTGTACCCTGTCGACCCCCCAGGCTAGAGCATCTGTTCCATTCATCTCCACTAGTAGTAAATACAACCAAGACCACACAAATGCCACCACTCTCCGTTACATGAAGAAAGTCTCCTCTACTGAACTTAAGTGGTAGCTCTCAGATATTTCAGATTTCCACGGAGCAGTCCCTGGCTGAGTCCCACCAACCCTGGGAGCAAGGAGAATGGGGAGAAGGCCTTTATCCTCTCACGGTCCTACCTTTCACACTAGGCTAGACCAGATGAATCAGAAAAACTGGGGCTTTGGGATGTGTCTAGGACATTTATGCAAAATGGAAGATGTGTAAATGAAAAATAATAAAGAAAAGGTTCTTTGACATTTTGGAAAGGGATTGGACAGGAGTATAACATCAAATTCCAGAGCTATTAATTTTCACTTGTGAGAATTATTGTTAATTTTTACATAGAAAATAGCATGGCACTTACACCGAGAGAAAAAGGAATTTTTTTTAATAATACATGATGAAACATACATAAATGAAATTATACAATATTTGGAATTTTCTTCAAAATAACCTGAGGGAGACAGAAAACCAGCAAGGGTGAGATGCACTAAGCCTGACAGTGCAGGTCCAAGGGGTTTACTACACCAGTATATTCTCCCTGCTTTTGTTTCTGCTTACAATTTTCCACAATAAAGTTAAAAAGCTAAAATCCGTCTTCTACAATCAACAATGCAATCATAAAGGTAAGGAATCTAGCACACAGTGCCTGCCACACCGCAAAGGCCTCAATGGAGCAATCCCTGCAGTAGCAGTAGTATTCGTCCTGTGACAATCTCCAGGTTCTCAGTGACCCTCAAATAAGGTGGAATTACTTACGTGACAAGCCACCAAAGCTCCTGTGTTCCAACCAATCAAGATAACGGGTTTGTGTGGAAAATGGCTGTGGATCTTTGTGGGAAAGAAGGGAGACAGTCAGGTCAGAGGCCCAGGAGCGTGCAGAACAAGCCCAGAATGATGGTGTGCTACCAGCAACTAAAGCAGGGACATTCTCACCTCCAGCACTTTGCTTCTCACTGCCCCAATCATATGCTCAAGACACTGTAGAACGCCTACCCCACTGCCATTGTTCAGTAAATGGGTGGCTACAGGGATGACCTGAGGAGAGAAGCAGTGTCCAGGCCAGCATGGTTAAGTTTCAAATCTCTCAATCCTGCTTAACATGCTAAAATCCCTTCAACCCTGGACAAGCAGTCAAAGGATGCTCCACACTTTAGTTCTTCCACTCTGACTCCCTCCAGCACTTCCTTCTCCCAGTCTTCCAAAGCTATACCCCCATCCAGCAGAAAGCTCATCCTGCCTCCACACATACCTTGCCTAAGCAGGAGAGCTGAGACTGCCAGAAGCGGTGGCGGCGTGAGGTGGGAAACACGGAGCTGGAGGGGCCAGAGGAGGCGATGAGAATGAGAGGAGAGCCCGGGAGTTTGCTCTAAGGAGAAAGATTCCCACCCAAGAACAAGTGAGTGAGAAGTGTTCTTTCATGAGATCCAAGGACTGTCTTTCTCATCCCAAACAATGATCCTTTGCTTATGAAACTAAGGTTAAACATTATACAAAACAAGTTATAAATTTAAAAAAGGTAAAATAAGCTATCTGTCATCCTCTTGCCAAGGTGTTAAGGCTTCAGTATAAGATGTCAAGTGCCATGTAAGTCCTGAGCTGTCCAACTTACTGGCTTGTTATGAGAAAGCACCCCTACAGCAGGGTCCCAGGGCCTCTTCAGGAGCAGGGACAAGGCCTCGGCTCCCGCAGCCCCAGTCTTCGTGTTGGAGGACACAAGCATTCGGTCAATCAAGGTCGGGATCTGGAATGAAGGAAGAGCAAAGATGCTTCCAGTGTGCACTGAGATACCTTCCCACCACCAGCAACCAGGCAGGACAGGGCCCCGTGATGAGCCATAAACAGACTTTTACTAAGTCTTGCAAACCTTCCTCAGAACCAAAAGTACAAATAAATGCACATCTGAAAAGCATGTTCCTGGGGCTGGCACTGTGGCACAGCGGATAAAGCTGCTGCTTGCAGTACCGGCTGCTCCACTTATTTTTAAAAAAGATTTATTTATTTGAAAGACAGAGTTACAGAGAGAGGCAGAGCCAGAGAGAGAAAGAGAGGGAGGTCTTCCATTCTGCTGGTTCACTCCCCAAATGACGGCAACAGCCAGAGCTGAGTTGATCCAAAGCCAGGAGCTTATTCCAGGTCTCCCACATGGAAGCAGGGGCCCAATGAGTTGGGTCTTTTTCTACTGATTTCCCAGGCCATAGCGGAGAGCTGGATAGGAAGAGGAGCAGCTGGGACTCAAACTAGTGCCCATTTGAGATGCTGGCTCTGCAGGCTGCAGCTTTAACCTGCTGCACCACAGTGCCAGCCCCTGCTCCACTTCTGATCCAGCTCCCTGCTAATGTGCCTGGGAAAGCAGCGAAGGATGGCCCAAGTGCTTGGGACCCTGTACCTGGAAGAAGCTCTTGGCTCCAGTCTGGCCCAGCTCCAGCCACTGCAACCATTTGGGGAGTGAACAAACTGATGGAAGATCTGTCTCTCCCTCTCTCTAATTCAGCCTTTCTGATAAATAAATCTTTAAAAAATAAAAATTAAAAAAAGTTGAAGCAACCTAAATGTGTATGTAAAAGAGTTGTTAAGCAAATTATCCATCTAACTGTATATTGAGGGTTATTTCCTTTTTTTTTTTTTTTTTTTAAGATTGTTTTTATTTGAAAGGCAGAGTTAGAGATTGAGGGAAAGACAAAGTGGTCTTCCATCCATTGGTTCACTTAACAAATGGCTGCAACGGCCAGAGCTTGGCTTGTCTGAAGCCAGAAGCTTCTTCCAGATCTCCTACATGGGTGCACTTGTGCCATCTTCCATTGCTTTCCCAGGCACATCAGCAGGGAGCTGTATCATAAGCGGAACAGCCAGGACGTGAATCATCACCTGTTTGGATGCCCGTATCACAGGCAACAGCTTTACCCACTACACCATGGTACAGGCCCCAAGGATTACTTTCAAATACTATTAAGAATCTGTTAAGGGGCTAGTGCTGTGGTGTAGTGGATAATGCCACTGCCTGCAGTGCCAGCATCCTATATGGGCACTGGTTCAAGTCCCAGATGCTCCAATTCCGATCCAGCTCTCTGCTATGGCCTGGGAAAGCAGTGGAAGGTGGCGCAAATCCTTGGGCCCCTGCATCCTCCTGGGAGACCCAGAAGAAGCTCCTGGCTCCTGGCTCCTGGCTTTGGATCGGCACAGCCCTAGCCATTGCAGTCACTTGGGGAGTGAACCAGCAGATGGAAGACCTCTCTCTCTCTCTGCCTCTCTGTAACATGCCTTTCTTTTTTCTTTTCTTTTTTTTTTTTTAAGATTTATTTTATTTATTTGAAAGACAGAAGTACAGAGAGAGGTAGAGATAGTTTTTCCATCCGCTGGTTCATTCCCCAGATGGCCACAATGGCTGGAGCTACACCAATCTGAAGCCAGGAGCCAGGAGCTTCTTCCGGGTCTCCCACGTGGGTGCAGGGGCCCAAGGACTTGGGCCATCGTCTACTGCCATCTCAGCCATAGCAGAGAGTGGGATAGGAAGAGGAGCAGCTAGGACTAGAACCGGCGCCCATATGGGATGCTAGTGCCGCAGGCAGAGGATTAACCCACTGCGCCACAGCGCCAGCCCCAACAATGCCTTTCAAATCAATCAATAAATCAATCTTTTTTTTTTTTTAAAGAATCTGTTAATAACATACAGAAAAACAGAAACAATTTTGCTAAAATGTTACAGGTAAAACAAAACAGGAAAATGATCTCTACTCAGAAGAAACATTGTAAGAAAGGATGCCAAAATGCTAATAGATTTCTGTATCTTCTAAATTTCCTCGATGAACATCACTAACTTTATAACTAGAGAAAAAACAAACAAAAAACTCCCAAAATTTTCACCCAGTGTACTGCTTTCAAGCTGTGGCATGTTAAAGAAATCTGTGATTGTATCCAAAAGTATATCCTACTGTATTGTGATTTATGCCACATCCTGTTATTTACTATCCACCAAAAATGTGATCTCATAGGTATATAAATATAGGTTTCATACATGCTGATGTTTACATTGAAAGAAATATCTGCATGAATTCCATTCTACCCACAAAGGTCACAATGACAGAGGGGAAAGGAAGAAATTTTAATTAGAAGTAGTTTTCAAAAAAACAAAAGAACATTTTTGAGAAATTGGAGAATAAAGACTACCATAGTTTGATGCAAGTTGTAAGAGCTCAGACAGAAGATAAGTTGCTCCTAATTTAAGAAGAGAGACTAGAAAGATTTCTTCAGAAGAAATCAAGAGATTGTACCAATGTTCTCAGTTTAACTCATGAAACAAATGTTTATGAAAGAGCTGTTGAGGACAGCTTTGTGGCCATGAGCCCTGTGTGAGTTCTGGCTGCTCTACTTCTGAACCAGCTTCCTGATAATGCACCTGGAAAAGCAGTGGACAAATGTGCACTTGGGCCCTTGCCACCCACATGGAAGACTTGGATGCAGTTCCAGGCTTCTTGTTTTGGCCTGGCTTAGTGCTGGCTAGTGAGGCCATTTGAGGAGTGAACCAGTTGATGGAAGATTTATCCATCTTTCTATGTCTCTCTGTCTCTAAAAATCTTAAAAAAAAAAACCCTGCTCATACAGACACTAAGCTAGTACTTTGAGGAATTTAATCTAAAAGTGGCAATGAAGACAAACACACACAATGGGGGAGGGGTGGCTGATAACTGTCACAAAATGAACCGAAGGCCCACACTGCTGACACTAACTGTCCAGAGGAGAGGGAAATTCATAGGCAATTTCCATCTGAAATACAGCATATAAAGTGAAACAGGCAAGGCACTAACAGAGGATGAGAGAGCAGCTTTCCAGCCACAGATACCAGCAAGTGGCAATAAAGTGTGGGGCTTACTGTAGGCCCAGGTAGACTGAAACGGGGATTAGAGTAGGAATGAAGATACAGAGCTACTTAAAAAGGCTCAGGCCAAACTGTACAGGATGTTCACCCTAAATGGTCATTCTTTGTTACTCACTCTGTAATTGTGGGCCACTCAACACTTTGAGGCAAAGGATCTGATCTAATTTAAAAGCTTTATCTGAGGGTGGGCACTGTAGCACAGCAGTTAAGCCATCACTTGGGACAGTCACATCCCATTATCGGAGTGTCTGGACTCAGTCCTAGCTCCATTTACAATCCATCTTCCTGATAACGTGCACCTTTGGAAGCAGTGGGTAATGGCTTGAGTACTTGAGTCCTTGCTACCCACATGGGAAATCTGGACTGAGTTCTCAGCTCCTGGCTTCAGTCTGGCTCAGCTCTGGCTGTTGCAGGCATTTGGGGAGTGAACCAGCAAATAGAAGATAGCTCTCTCTCTTGCTCTTTGAACTATATGAAAACAAATAAATCATTTAAACATAGTTGTGGGAAAATAACCACTGTGGAAAATATTGCAAGACTCTGATTGTGCACCAGGCAAGTCTTCCACTGTTCGGCTCACCCACACTGTGCCCCAGCAGCACAGCCAGGCAGCACCAACCTGAGGATCACTCAGTGGTCTGCTGAGTTTGCTTTATCTTGTACAAGGGACACAACCAACCAGTAACTAAAGTGGGAAAACAGTCCAAACTCTTTCTTAAAAGGAAAATTATACCCAAATTACGCTTGCCATAGGTGAGGCAGAATTACCAGAGAACTGGTCCACTACCCACACTCACTCTCTCCAGTATATTCACCAACACTGTACTTTTTCGAATGGTAGAACACTGTGGAGAATGTATTTTGAAAATGCTTACTGCCTTCATGGGCCAAACTCTCTGCCAGGGTCTTGTCTCGACCCCACATCCCACCTATGCCCATGTCTGCCCACCATTCCCCTCCTGGCCCAGGGTTTATAATGCAAGGGAGCAAGACAAAGGGAAACCTGGGACTCTCTCTGTCCGCTAAAAAACAAGCTCCACCACGGCAGGGGGCAGTTCTGTTTTATTCACCCCAGTGCTTGGCACACTACAGGCACACAAAATCATATTAGTTGAATGAATAAACTAGGATCAAATTTCCTACTATGCATATAAAATTAATGCATCAAGTCCTGAGTTTTGTTTTGTTTTAGCACTAAATCAGTCTTTGTCTTTAGTTTTTTTTTTTTTTTTTTTTTGGACAGGCAGAGTGGACAGTGAGAGAGAGAGACAGAGAGAAAGGTCTTCCTTTGCCGTTGGTTCACCCTCCAATGGCCGCCGCGGCCGGCGTGCTGTGGCCGGCGCATCGCGCTGATCCGATGGCAGGAGCCAGGAGCCAGGTGCTTTTCCTGGTCTCCCATGGGGTGCAGGGCCCAAGCACCTGGGCCATCCTCCACTGCACTCCCGGGCCACAGCAGAGAGCTGGCCTGGAAGAGGGGCAACCGGGACAGCATCCGGCGCCCCGACCGGGACTAGAACCCGGTGTGCCGGCGCCGCTAGGTGGAGGATTAGCCTAGTGAGCCGCGGCGCCGGCCAGTCTTTAGCTTTCTAACAAACTGAGCATCCTTCAACTTAAAAATAAGAAAAAATGAGCCTGAAAATTTTGAGATATAGTCGGTGGAAGCAGTTGGCCAGAAAATTTACAGCATCAAGACAAGCCAGCTTCCCGCAAAGAATTAAAAACTACTGAGAAAAAAAGCCAGGAACTGAATTAATCCAAGTTGTCCATGCTATTTTGTAGTGGAACAAAACATCCCAAATAGTCAAGAATCTAGGAGGATGCTATTTAAAGAATCATTAACAGTTCCTATAGGCTTACTATATGCCCAGTGTAATATCAAGCTATCTACCTGGATCAACTAACTAAATTTTCACAATATTCCTAAATGGGTGTTATCCTTAGCCACATTTTAGAGAGAGGAGAACCAAGGACAACTTGGGCTGAGCTCACACAGCTGATCAGCGACAGAGCTGAGATCAGCCAGGCAATCAGCCTCCAGCACCTACACTCTGTCTCAATGAGGACAGCCCAGCATGGTCATCAACATCACAGCAAATCCTAACCCAACTGTTGCACAATACTGTCTAAGAAAGCAGGGAAACATAATGAGATATTTGTAACAAATTACAGACCAAGTGTTGCTACTGAAGACTCATCCAATGATGAAGAGAGAGGAGAAACTCACTGCCCTGTTCTGGAATCCATTCATATACCCCTCCCTAAGAAATCCTTCATCACCCCATCACAATTTGATTCACCACTCAAACCACAAGCTGTAAGGCTAGAGTGACTCTAGTTTTTAGACCCCACACCTCATCCTGGAGATGGCAGGGCTGAAGACATTCACATGAAATGACGCCCTGTCTCCTCTAGGCCGCATAGGCAATGACCCTGTCCAACCCCACATCTTGAATCCACAGAAGACGGTTATCCCCAGCAAGGGCAGGTACCAATTACAGCCTTACCTTCCCTTTCAGCGTCTGCAAAGCATCCAGGTAGGCTGCCAGCATGGGCAGACTCAAGGTCTCCACGAGGGTGGTGTGTAGCCACTGGATCAGCTTGGTGTCCCAGCTTACACTTGCCAGTGCCTGTCGCACTCTCCTCGCACACTTGTCCACGGCAACACGGCGCAGCACTGGCTCATTACAAGCCTGAAAGATAAGTGGAAGTGATAAAACACAAGAAGCATTTGGTTATGGGAAGGACAAGTGAGTCAGCAGTGAGGCCTGAGTCAGGAAGAGCCCGCCGTGGGCAGATTCTGTCTTACCCCTTCATTGGCCAGGCGGGCAAGCCGATCACACTGCAGGGCTTTGAGGGTCTTGTTGAATAGCTTGTTCTGGGCCACTGTCCAGCCAGTCCTATAATGGAAACTCTGAGGAATTAAAGTCAAACCCTAGGGACACGCCCCGAGAAGGTACACCATATACAGAAGATTATCCTGTGTTTTTCGTTCCCACTATGAAAGACTATAACTCAAATATAATTCAAATCTCAGACGACTGAGCTAAAACACAAGACCTAGATTTTGGTCCCAATCCAGCCATTGCAGCTATGTGGGGAGTGAAGCAGTGGATAGAAGAACTCTCTGGCTCACTCACTCACTCTCTGTAACTTTGCCTTTCAAATAAATAATTAAATCTCAAGACCCCAAAATACCAATATATTTATGGCCCTTCTAAGGATGACTCAAAACCCAGAAGACATAAAAGGAATAGAGGGGAGGCCTCTGGCCTAGCAGTTAAGGTGCTGGCATCCCATAAGAGAGTGACGGAATCTGCTATCCAGTTCCTGCTAACGAGGACCCTGGGAGATAGCAGTTTTAGCTTTGGTAGCTGGGTCCCGGATGCCCACTTGGGAGACCCAGATTCAGGTCTGGCTCCAGGTTTAGCTCCTGACCCAGGGCCACTGCAGGCATTTGGGGAATAAACCAGAGGACTGGAGTTCTCTGTCTCTGTCTTCTCAAATAAGTAAATAAATAAGAGAGAGAGATAAAAGTAATTACATAAAAGTTTTTGAAAGGGAATAAAAAGTATCAGAAATACAGTCAAAATGGTGGGAAAACAACTGCCATTTCATTAAAAAAGAGGTGCTAGAAAATTTTTAAAAGATGAAATAATCAACAGGGAAAGAATATGGAAAGGCAGGCCACAAAAAGTGAAGTCAACTTTGCTTCAAAATTAAACAATACAAATTAAAATAATAAAATATTACTTTTCACTCCTCACATGGGTAAAAATTAAGTTTAATATGGTATTGTAAGGGTGTAAGAAAACGTATTTCTCCATATTCTGTTGCGGGAGATATAAAACTAACTTGTAAAAAGTCAATATGAAAAATCCATTTTTCCATTTTGGAAAATCAATCGAAAAACCCAAGTCAGACCCTATCATACCTCTGCTCAAAGTCCTTCAGTGGTCCCAGGAAAATCAGTTTAAAGCCAAAGTCCTCACAACAGGCTGTGGGGCCCTCACTGCCTCTCCAACCTCACCATCATGACTGCCCCTCACTTACTTTGCTTCAGCCACCTTGCATGCCCTGCCCCAGACCTTGCCATGTACACCAGGCACACCCTGCATGACAGACTGGGCACTTGCCACTCGTTCCCAATCTCAAACAATGGCTCCCTCTCTGTTCCTTCAGGTCACTGTTCAAATGTCACTTTCTCCATGGCTCTGTCTGACTCATCTTTATTTACACACCAAATCTACCCTGGGATTCCCCAGCCCTCTCTACTAGCCATATTACCACCTGACACTCTACTTTATTTGTTTGCTTTGTCTCCCTCTGCAGAATGCAAAGGCCAGGATGGCTGGGATTTTTGTCAGTTTTGTTTAAGTACTGTATCAGCTCATGAAATAGAGCATGACACACTCTGCAGAGTTAGACACCTACAACAAATGGAGGAACTGTGTGCATGCTGCATTCCAAGTTCTGTAAATAACAGGGTCCAGATTCAAACGCTTACCCTCTGCATCGTACTGAGCACCTGAGCACTGAGTAGCAGAGAGGACCACAGAAACATGTTCCTGCTCACTGGCAAATGGAGCCCTTCACTGCACCAAGCTGGTGAAGCTGCAGGGAAGCCCTTGAAAGGACAGCGAGTTTCCCTTCTTGCTTCCTATCACATTAGCATCATTCCCATCACAGCCCACCACATGAGACACTCTAATCTCTACAGCCACCACTCTAGGAACTAGTCTGGGGCTGGTGCTATGGCTCAGCAGGTTAACACCATGGCCTGAAGTACAGGCATCCCATATGGGTACGCCGGTTTGAGACCCGGCTGCTCCACTTCCAATACAGCGCTTTGCTATGGCCTGGGAAAGCAGAAGATGGCCCAAGTCCTTGGGCCCCTACCCCCATGTGGGAGACCCGGAAGAAGCTCCTGGCTTCAGATCAGTGCAGCTCTGGCCGTAGTAACCATCTGGGGAGTGAACCAGCAGATGAAAGACCTCTCTCTGCATAAATCTGACTTTCAGATAAATAAATAAATCTTAAAAAAAAAAAAAAAAAAAAACTTCTGTGCGCTGGCATTGTGGCTTAGCAGGTAAAGCCGCCATGTGTAGTGCCGGCATCCCATGTGGGAACCAGTTTAAGTCCTGGCTGCTCCACTTCCGATCCAGCTCTCTGTTATGGCCTGCGAAAGCAGTGGAAGATGTCCCAAGCGCCTGGGCCCCTGCACCCTATGTGGGAGACCCGGAAGATGCTCCTGGCACCTGGCTTCGGATTGGCCCAGCTACGGCTGTTACGGCCATCTGGGGAGTGAACCAGCAGATGGAAGACCTCTCTTTCCGCCTCTGCCTCTCTGTAACTCAAATAATAAATCTTTTTTTTAAAAAAAAAAACCTTCTGAATTTCCAGTTCTATAAAACTAATGGGTATAATGAACCTGTAACAATTGCATCGCAGTCTTACTGCCAGTACTGATGCTCGTTTATAGTCAACCGGGTTAAGAGATGAGAACTTCACTTCAAAGTCTGGAGCTTTCTCAAAGTCTATTAATCACATTGTAAACTTTAATTCCAAGAACAGAGAATGAGGTATAATTGATTTATGAGACATCAACAGCATTTGCAAAATTATTCCATTCTTTAGCATTTAACAGGATGTTTCCCTATTTGTTCGTCTTACTCTGTATTTATTCTGAAACCCAAAATGAGGGGAGCAAGGAAGATGATGTGAACAAAGTGGGGAAGGGTTCCAAAGCAATTGAGAAATGACTTCCATTTTGCAATGACAGCTGAAATTAAATTTAAAAACCACAATGATGAAAAGTCCAAAGTCCTAGAAAAAGTTCTTAGAATTATTGCTGAATACATAACAAAATGATCCCAAGAATTGAAACACATTCTCTATTTTGTCAGCTTCGTGGGAGGCTGGAGAATTAAGAGGGGAAAAAAATGATGTAACCCAGGATTAAGATAAAGAGCATGCAAGAGATATAATTAAGGAAAAATGTAAAAGCAAGAGACAGAATTTTAAATACAAGTCTAAACACTCAAATAGCCGATGGGAACTGTGGTGAGTCAACTGGCTCCCCACTACCTAAACCTATTCAGTTTTCATGAGTGCAAAAATGCCTTGTCTTCATTTCGTAATGAGATCAGATAATCTTTTGTTTGCCATTCTCTGATTGAAGCTGAACGATATGCTGACCTCTCATTTATCCTATTCAAAGCAGCCAAAAAGACCACACTGGTCCTGTAACAATCTGGCATTTTCAAAAGTAATCATTATTTCCCTGGCACTGTTTCAAGGAGACTAATTTAACATTAATACGACAAAAGGATTTTTTTAGGAAAAAAAAAAAAAAAACTAGAACAGGGAATGACAAGGAATACCAGAGAATCCCAGTAAGTCATACTTCTGGGACAGGAAGGAACAAAGGAAAGAGAAAGTGGGTAGAGGGAGAGAGGAAAGAGAAAGTAACTCAGAGGTCGAGAACTGACTTCCAAGATAACCAACCCAGGATTTTTACAAAGACACACCTAATATTGAGTATAAAATTATAGAAAGTTCACGAAGGGAAAAGGTTTTTTTTTTCTAGGTGAAATTCAGGCTGGGCTTCTTCCTTTTTTTTTTTTTTTTTTATTTATTTGAAAGGCAGAGTTACAGAAAGGCAGAGGCAGAGGCAGAGAGAGAGAGATCTTCCACCCGCTGGTTCACTCCCCAGATGGCCGCAACGGCTGGAGCTGGGCTGATCCAAAGCCAGGATCTTCTTCTAGGTCTTCCACAAGGGTGCAGGGGCCCAAGGACTTGGGCCATCTTCCACTACTTTCCCAGACCATAGCAGAGAGTCGACTGGAAGTGGAGCAGCTGGGACTCAAACCGGTGCCCATATGGGATGCTGGCACCGCAGGCGGCAGCTTTACCCACTACACCACAACACCAGCCCCCAGATTGTGTTTCAAGATAAGACAGCCTGCTTCCTGACACTAATTCTCTTACTCACATGTTGGAAATGTCCTGAAATCCATTTAGGCAATGCTAAGAAAAGTGTCCAAATTTATTTTGTGGGGCCAGTGCTGTATCTATATGGTGAGTGACCCAGCGGGTAAAGATCTCTCCTTCTCTCTGTAACTTTCAAATAAATAAATAGGGCCTGGGCCTCCGCCTGCAGCACCAACATGCCATGTGGGCGCCAGCTCATGTCCCGGGTGCTCCTCTTCTATTGCTCCTGATCGGCCCAGCTCTGGCTATAACAGGTATTTGAGGATTGAACCAGCACATGGAAGACCTTTCTGTTTCTCCCATTCTCTGTGACTCTATCTCTCAAATAAAGAAATAAATCTTAAAAAAATTAAAATTTAAAAAAATCTTAAAAAATAGAATTTTGTTAGGAGCCAGCATTGTGGCGAAGCCAGTAAAGCTGCTACCTGCAACACCAGTATCCCACATGGGTGCATGTTCCTGTCCCAGCTGCTCTACTTATAATTCAGCTCCCTGCCAATGGCTTGGGAGAAGCAGTGAAGATGGCCTAAGTGTTTGGGACCCTGATAGCCACATGGGAGACCCAAAAAAATCTGGTTCCTGGCTCCGGCCTCGCCCAGCCCTGGCCATTGTGGCCATCTGAGGAATGAACCAGTGGATGGAAGATTTCTCTCTCTGTAACTCTGACTTTCAAAATAGATAAATAAATCTATTTTTTTCTCAGAAGTAATATTTTGTTAAATGTCTTTCAAAACTGTGCATACAATGAAACTCACCCATTTGACAAACATCTAGAGGAAAAAAAAGGTTGACCAACATCTTCAAGACTGTATCACCATGCCAGTAAATGCCAATCATTTTCAAAGTCCCTTCAAGTTGCATGACTGTGTCAGACAGACATAAAAACATTTTCTAAACCCAGTCATCC